GTTATATAGAAGATAAAGTAGGTAACTGAAGAAAAGGTCATTTACTATTCTGCCATCTACTTTTACCAGCATTAAATACCTGCTGATAACCTAGTTAGAACCAGTCTGTGGGCTGAAATGTGAAAGAAGCATAGGAATCCATTAAGCTTTTTGCAGCTTACTAGAATAATACTTGCTAGGTATGAAGCACCTTCCGTATAAGAACCTAGTACTGTCTAAACTTGACCATTTTAATCTCACAAATAGTATTGCATGGTAGGTAAGTATCACTTCTTACTGATATTTGTGCTGAGACACAAATACATGCCTGCAAGCAATACCAGACCAGAAATAAAATATATCCCTCATTCATTATAACGGTATTATGAGTAAATTGCAAGTGACTGTTTGCCTCTAAGTAAGACTACTACTGCCTGTAGCAACAATTGCTAGATTGGAAAAACATCATTAACTGTAAAAAGTTTAATGCCTAAAAATCATCAGGAGCACTGATGTGGAGTCTTGAGGTGTCTCATACTATTCTAAAATTATCTTCTGTGAACTTTGGGGCTAAGAGTAGTGCCAGTCTTGCCCATGGTGTGTGTATGTGTGGACATGCACACTAGCATGTAAATAATGCAATTTATATTACAGTGATGATATAATTAAGCGTAGTAGGGAAATGCTTCTGCAGCCAAAATAAAAATTAGGAATCTTGCACACCACATACAGAAGCTTCTCAGGAAATCATTCTAACTTGCTCTTCCTGTCAAGCAAGGGAATATGCCTCTTAATTTCCCCTGACAGAAAGCACATCACCTCATCAGCAGCCTCAGAAAATGACAAAACAGCCAAACTGAAAAAGAGCGACTGCCAAAAGCTTCCACTGCCGCTTCAGTACGGGAGATTGGGAGAGGAGGGGTGTGCTTGAGAAATTTCAGAAAAGTAGAAAACTTACCCTGCTAGCTAGAGCTTCCCACTGTCACACTTTGTCTTCCCGCAAAACCTTGACTGATCGGGCAGTCAAGGTGTGACCCTTTATGAATTCATTGGGGCCAGAGGGTACCTGATCATTTAATTCTGAAAGAATAATTTGTACTCTTGAATCTGGGTAGCGTGTAGTTCTTTTGCAGTGTTTGAGCTGAGGCAGACATCTCTGTAAAATCTACACCAACATGTATTTAAGTGATGGAGGCAGTTCAGTCACATACTCTGCTGTGTGTTTTAACCTGCAGAAGCAGTGATCTCATTTGAAGTTACTGTGCACTTTCTTAAAAGCATTGTACTTGCTGCTAATAAATTTTGATGGATTTATTGAAATGTTTGCTCCTGCGATTTGGCATAAATGCCAAAAATTACAAACAAAACCAAAAAACCCCATTAAGTTGTGATGAATTGTCAGGTTTCTGAATTGAGCACAATTTGCTTTACATTCAGAGCCCTGTATGTTAAATGACCCATCAGGATAGAAGATCTTTATAGAAAATTATGGCTACATTTATTGTTGGATCAATATATACATATTACTAAGCTGCTTGTTTTTTTTTTTTTCCTGTTTATAAACCAAAATTATGATAAGATGAGGGGATTTTTTTTATGGTCACTGCATATTTCTAGAATTCTTGCACCAAGTATTTTTCCCACCCTAAAGGCAAAGAGTAATTTTTTAAAGTCAGAATGACAGAGATTGATAGTGTATATACAAGTAGACTACCTCTGGTAAATATATTAATGTTGTAACTTCTTACATAAATATATTATAATGGATCCAGTTGCTATTACACTGAAATTACACAGTCACATAGAGGACTGCATAATTCACATTTCTGTAAAATGTTTCCAGTTCTCATGTTGCAAAGATAATTTTCAGACTGCGAACTGGGTGCAAACTGATGCTGTGATGTCTGCTTAAGTGGTCAGACGACTTGAAACTTGAGCCTGCAGAGTTTTGAATGTCTCCTTTTCATTTTGGTGGGGATTAGACTCTGCAGTCTGACAGTGTGTCTGCAGTAATGGCAGGCAAGGAAAATTAAGATTGCCGTGCCTTCCAGACAGTGTGTTTGCTTTTGTGTCTTGTTGAATGTTTTGGCATGCAGTGGAGTAGAACGTACAGGAATACCTCGGGGCTTCCAAGAGTTGCTGAAGTGATGATGAAATCTGATTCTTTCACCACTCTCTCCAGTGGATCATATGACTGAAGGCTTTTCTATCACATAGTTGGGTGGTCATCTATTCTAAGAGGAATAGCCTCCATTTTGATTGCGTGATGGACATCTGCCAATCATTTGGCTAACAGAGGAGCCAGAGGACCCCGGAGAAAGATGGTAGCAAGGAGTAGGCCACAGTGCATGGATTATTCTAATAGGCCTTGGCTGTGCGCCCTCTATGTCTGGGCCCCGTAGAAATGCTGATTGCAGAGAATGGTCAGTGCTTTGTAATGCATGCTCTGCAGGATGCAGAATCCTTCTGTATACATGTCTGTTTGTATAGGTATACTCTGTACACATATGTGTATAAGAAGTGTGCATGTATGTAGCAAATACAGATTGGAACATTGGTATCTTGATAGGAATGTAGGTTTTTTGTTAAATAACGATTCTCCAAGTTCGGAGTGTTCAGATCCAGGTCCTGACTGGAAATGAGATTATGATTTTTGTTGAGGTACCTGATGTTACTTCAGACATTTCAGAGCCAAGTTATGGGTGGAGGCCTCTCTCTGTTAGGTGTTAAATTTATGCCTGGTGTAACGGACTTTGCTGACTTGTCTTCAAAGATGTGTACGTTGCAGTGATTTGGCAGTTAAGGAATGATGAAACTAGGTGACTAGCTACTTAGGGTAGAATGAGTTTAGCAAGACTTACTAGCTCTAGGAAGAAGAAGAAAAAAAAAGTTACCCTCCTCCTAAGACATGTTCAGAAAGGTAAGACAATTTAAACGCTGTTGTCCATCTCAAAATTTTGCAGAAGCAGTCCCAATAATCCTGTTAAAATCAAATTGAATTTAGGTAAAGAAATCGTTCTGAGTTTTAGCTGTAATACTCTTTTGACTCTACAGAGTAAGCCTGACAAAGTTGTTGCAGTAGCTTTTTTATTTGTGCAAGTTGACTTTTAATAGCAGACACTATTTTAAAATTCTGTAATGAAAGTATTTATTAGTAAGTAAATATGAGAACAATTTCCCTAGAGCCAGGAGGTTATTGTGGTGGTAGCTGTTTTACCTTGTTTGTTCCTAGCAGTTATATGATTCAGTACTATTTAATAAAATATAATTTCTGCAGGGGTGGGATTTTGAACTCCTTGAAAATATTAGCCTCTATGTTGCTGCATAGGTTAAGAAGAAAGGAGTAAGTAATGCAGTGAAAATAAGTCCCAAGGACATAATTATAGGGTACTCTGGCTGTGTGTTCTTTGTCCTGTCAATATGAAGAAGCAAGCAGAGTTGGAGAAACTTCAGGAATATAATTGGGGTATGCTGGTGAGACCGAGGCCAAACAGGCATCTCTTCCGCCTCCTCTGGTGCCCCATATCACTTTATATCACTCTTTTGAAGAAGTATAGACATGGCTTTAAAATTATCCAGGTCAGAGTTGAACCAGAGAATAAAGCTGAAGTACTTCCAGAATTTCTCTATATTTTAAGCATGCCTACCTTCAGTGTTAATAATGAAGCTCCTCATTTAATTCAGTTTACTTCTGCTTATTGTAACCAGTCATAAATTCTCCCCAATTCTGTATATGCTAGTATACTAAAAAATGATGTATCTTCATGATCTTAGTATCCTCAAATAGCAGGGGAATTCATACAAGAGGCCTTTTTAACTGGGGTTTCTGCCTGCGAAACAGCTCCAGCACTACAGATGTGAGGTTGCATATTTGTGTCTCATACAATGAGAGCTAGAATGAAATAATTTAGAGCTTCCTTCAAGTGCAAACACAAGCTATGTGGAGAGGACTTGCTTTCTTGTGCCGCATTCCCGAGAGCAATGGTTTAGCAGACCAGATTGCCCCGTCACTGATACTTGTTACTGACCCTTGAGTCTTGGGTGTGTTTTCCCAACTATAGCTGACTGGAATTTATTCAGACATTTTGTTTGCTGATCCACAAGAAAGGAATACAGTTCCCTTACTTTGCCCCTTACTGTTTTTGCCTGATGCAGTTCCAACAGGATGAAAAAGAAATGAAAAGACAATTCTGAACGCCTCCATGGAGATGGGGCAGATCTAAGTAGACATTTTTAGGAGTTCTGCTGGTGTCGTGTTTTCATTTTCAATGTGATAAATAGGATTTACTTGTTCATGTGGATTGTCTTTAGAAATTAGAATTATCAGCTTCCAGTATGCACACAAATTTGAATGTGATTGAGTTACAGTTGATTTACCTCTCAGGTAATACTTTCCATGATCTTAGCTGCCATAATAGTGTACATGCATACTCTTAGCCTGGGTATATTGTGAAGGAAGATGGGTCAGTTTAAGGTACAATGAAAGCCCCTCAGATTCTGCTAAGGTGTCAGCCGGAGTCCGGCATCATTATCTTGCAAAGCATGATTTCAGTGACAGTTCTTGGATCCAGTGATGTTATATTTATAAGATAACATAAGAAAAGAGCAAACAAATTAAATGACAGTACAGTTGAAGACCAAAGTTTTTAAGAGATTGAATGTGATCTTTTAAAATATTCAAAATTCCTGAAGAGATCCTTTCTTACTTCTTAGCAGGTGTTAGAGCATTAGGTTCAGTTTACAACTTTGTAATTTTTATGTCGGTAAATGGTGACAATCTAATTCCTAAATTTACTTTCTATTGCTCCTTTATGACAAAATGCGTTGTTATCCTAGCAGTACTACAGACCAGATTGTAGTAATGTCAGTAGAAATGTATAATGTGATCATTGCTAATAGCACATACTGTAGCTCATGAATATTTGGCGTTTTCTTCTTCCCAGTCACCTCGTAGTTGAAAGAGAATTTTCTCATTTTAGCTTGTCATTTATGATGCTGATTCATTCTTTTGTGTCTTCTAGCTTGCTACTTTAGAATTCCCTCCGAAGAAGCTCTTTGGAAACAAGGATGAACGAGTGATTGCGGAACGACGGAGTCACTTAGAGGTAATGGTAACTTTTTTAAAAAGTTCTGAAGTGTGTTTAGATAAGAGTTCTGTGTGCTTGACCAATAGAAACCATTCTCATGTGGTTAAAGTTAAATAGCCTGCTTGTAAGTATGAAGTTACTTGCTGCTTCATTTAACACAGGAGATGGCAGCAGTAGATTGCAAAGTAATGAAACATGCTTTTTTTTAAAAAAAAAATACTGGTCTAGGAAAAAAAGCAGCTCTTTAGAGATGTTCATAGGCAGTACATTTATTTAAGGGGAGAGGTTGTGGATGAGGTAAGTGTTCACTGTAGACAGATGGTCTCTGTGCAAGACAAGATTAAAAAAACTTGATACTTTAAATGCAATGTTATCCGAAGATTTACTATTTTATCATAGTTACTATATCCAAATATCTCATGACAGAAGGAAAGTGATATTCAGGCATTTTTGAGCTTTATTTTGTAACCTAGCTTTCTAAATGTATTTTTTCTTCTTTGAATTAGTTTTAGAAATTAGTTTTACTATGGATAAGGTAGCTGAGATTTCTGGGGTTTGAGTTTTTTCTTTGTTCGGTAGCACTAGGTTGATGGTACAGTTTTGACTCCTATCACACTTAAGGACTTTGTATTTCGATGTTAATGCACTTATTCTTGCGGCCTGCGGCAGGAGGTTGGGTTTTGGGAAAGAAGGAGAGGCAGAAAGAGAGAGAGAGAGAGAGAGAGAGACTAACACATACACGCTGAAACTATATTATAGCCACATAAGGGTTACCTGATCATGCAAGCCAATAACAATTATACTCTTTGAAGAGCTGGAGTAGAATTAAGTAGAACTTTAGAGAAATGAATATAGAAGTAGATTGCTTCCAACCGTAATCACTTTTGTTTGCATTTTTGAATTCTTTCTATGTACTTCACCTTTTCCGTGACCCACAAACAAAACATATCCTCCCACTGACTTTTGATGTGGAGCTGTCTTACTTGTAGCGCAGAATGTAATCTGCTTTCTGTTTCATGTTTCCCATAGAGGGGGACTGAATATTTTCTCTTGGTAAAGGTATAATTGCATTTCATTCTAGTACTCAGTTTGCATGTTTTTGTTCCAATAAGGAATTTAACCCCTTAATCCTTCTGACCCGTCATTGGTTTTATTAATAGATTTTATTGTAGTGTTTAAAATGTTAGAACTGCTGTGTATGGTGATGCTTTGTTCATGGTTGTATAGTATTTATAGCTTTGTATATGAGCATTTTTTGCTTATAGATTTGATTAGTTTTATCTATTATAGCTAAATTACGTCATTAAAACTTTATTATCTATATATTTTGCAGCCATAATAATAATATGGCTACTGTTTACATACATGTATTTCACTATATGTCAATAATACTGACAAAGCACTCAAGTTTAGGAAAGTGAAGATACCTAGCGGTCAAGGGGAAGTCAGCTGAAGAGGTCAAGGACCTAAGCAAATGTTCCTAACCTGTAACGATGTAACAAAGTTGTCATTAAAAAAAAAAAAAAAACTTTATCGGGACCGTTAATTACAGTTTTATCCTTTCACTGTGTATTTTGTGGCTGTCTTCTCTGGGTATGTACTGTAGGCCAACACAGCTGGAGTACTTCAGCTAACATAACTGCAGCCTCCTTGACAGTGGGAGAAACCACCTAAGTAGTAATGGTTTCCAAAGTCATGCAATGCTGTTTGAGTATTCAAAGCATCTTGAATTACACTGTGAAACTATTTGTCAGATAGGGAACGTGTGAAAGTGGAACGTTGGAACAGGCAACCACTTCTACTTAAAAGGCTGGCTGTAATGTTCTCCTAGTTTTTAGTCTGGGATGAACCTTGAGCGTATTTCAGTGGGCTAACCTGAAAGCAGTAAACAAATGGACGGCCTCTGCAGGGAACAGAGTTTCTTGGCCTTTTAAATATAGCTTATTTCTCATGTGGGAATTCAATGGGGTGAAAGTTTTGGAAATTAGACCTTGATAATTAGCAGAAACATGGGTTGGGTTGCTCATAACAAGCTGTTGGCTTCTCCTTATCTGTATTCGGTTGACTTTACTGCCTGATCCTATGCCTTGATTTGCTGAATCAAGAGACAAGGCTTCAGTGAAAAAGAAATCTAGTGAGGCTATTGCATGCCATAAAACCTGGCAATCCCTTTTAAGCCTCAGAGGTTATATGTTGTTATAGTAATAGTATAGTATGAAAGCTTATTTGATTCTTTCACATGGTTAGTCGAGAGCTAATATAGCATGTTAGCAAAGGCAAAGCTCACCTTCCAGCAAAACAAAAATGTATATTCTTATTGAAAGTCTTAGCTGACTTTAATGGCTAAAAATAGATGAAAAACTGACAAATGTCAGTCTAATGACAATGTTCTGGACGAATATTCAATATTATGTGATCATTAGTAGAGCTACAGTAAGTGTTTCCCTTTGGTGGATGGCAAAGAAATTACTCTCCTCATTCATTTTTTACATTAGATATTTATAAATCTTGAATAGATTGTGACTTTGTGTTGTTTTTCCTGACTTCTTTTAACTGGAGTGGGATAGTAAGGCTTTGACTAGGGCAGTGCATTCCACAGGTCATCGCTGAGCACCAGCAGTTTCTTTTTTAATTAATTTACACTTTTCTTTTTGAAGTATACATGTAACACTAACCTAAAATTCATATAAGGGATAAGAAAACTTAAGCTCTTATTTCAGTCAAACAGCCTGAAAAAAATGTTTTCAGGAATTAGCGAAGGACCTACGAGGCCATTTCAGTAACCTGCTGCTAATTCCAGAAAATAAATTAGTCAGGCTGTTTAACTGTAACTCACCAAAACTAAATTGCAACTTTCAGTCTGATCTGAAAAAATGAAGCATTTAGACTGGGAGTTACTGTAGGAGCTAAACTTTCTACGTTTCAACTACACAACTAACTAGCTGTATAACTCCAATAGTCAGACAGCTAATGCTATTGCATAAATCTAAACACTTATTTTAATTGACTCACTTTGGCTGTAGTCAGGGAAATTTTCCTTGTGCCTAATTATAAAAAGATCTGTCAAATCATCCTTTGCAAAAAGCAGGGCAGCCTAGGAAGAGTTTGATTTTTTTTTTCTCTCTTTTTTTTTTTTTTTTTTCCTTTTCCCCACATCTCACCTCTCAGATTCCAGCCACAACAGGAGCCGAAGTGCTGAAAACAGCATGAGGATTTTGGTGGCACTGTTCAGTGCGACTAGAAATGGAGGAGAGGGGTGGTTGTTTCTGTGTTTGTTTATTTGTTTTTAAGATCATCATGTAAAACATCCTCATTTCAGCTTGAGTTAAGAAGTGGGAGTATTGTTTCAAGATAATAGGGATGAAACTGCTTTGAATAAAAGGCTCTAGCAAGCCCCAAATTATGAAAATTGAGTTTTTTAAATCAAAATAAATGCAAAGTTAATCTAAAACATTAAGTTCCTGTGTGTGTGTGTGTGTATGTGTGTGTGTGTGTGTGTGTGTGTGTGTGTGTGTGTCCTCGCGCTGGTATAGGCTCTAACACACCAAAATTGTATGTGTGTGTGTGTGTGTGTCCTAGCTGGTATAAAGGCTAAATCACCAAAAGCTGCACGATGCATTATTGGTAGGAAAACACATTGTGTGTGCTTTTCTGTGTGTTTGTGAGAGGAATCTGAAGAGAGGTCTTTGGATCTCTAGCATGAAATATATTTGTACCATGAATACTTTTGCTTGGCATTTGTTTGTGTAATACAAAGTCTTTCGAGCAATATCTCACATTTTCCTTAGAGGTTTGTAAGATAACATGCAAGTGTGCCCAAAGGATTTGCCTATACATCTTAAGAGAAAGCACATAAATTGTACTTAAAATTACCTGTTCTAAATGCTCTGTTGCAGTCTATTAATTTGGTATTTCATCAGGGACCTGTTGCAGGGCAAAACTCTAAATTAATTGTTCTGCAGTCTAAAGACTGTAATTTCACTTCAGAGCCAACCTTGCTTGATTAAATCCGCCTTAAATGAAACAGCCAAGAATTCTTTTGATTAAAGTTAATGAATAGATGTTAGTCTGCCTCTATCCTTTCTTGCAGTCAGAAACTAGTAAATAAGGATATAGAACCCAGTTTCCATGGATGAAATCAGATGTATATATCCTTTTTTGGTCTTTTAAACAAAAAATATGTAAAGGGAACAAAATGTCACAAGGGAATGTATTCAGTGAATGTATGTTTCCATTTTAACCGCAAAATATCTTCTATTACTTGGTGAGTTGCTAGATCTGTGGATGACAGTAGTAAAAAGAAGTTTTCCTGAAATCCCAGCTTCTTTGGATACTGCATTTCTTCATATACCATTCCCCTGATGCCCCCCACCCTTCTCTGCAGCACATGCTTTGTGGTAGTAGTGAAGATCGTTATTTATCCCCGTTTTCCCATTGTCCATCCAGGAAAACTGGGCATAAGTAATAACTGTCTAAGCTGACATAGGAAATGGAGTCAAGTAGAACCGATGTTTCCTGAGTCCCCAGTCAGACCACTTGCAGCTGTGGACCCACGGTATTTTCTTTTCTAGTCCTGCTGTCACCGGTGTGCTCAGAAAGAACAATTTTTATGCCAAAAAATCCCCAAAGGAAACAAAACAAAGGAACCCAAATCTCAGCCCGTCTCCTTCTGGCTGTGGCCTCTTCCCCATTCCTCATTTCCAGCGCCCCATTTCCTCGGGTCTGTTTGTGGACAGCAAAGGGAAACAGGCAAAATAGCTGAGTGGGGGCCCAGCAACAGACAGCGCTATGCTCGGGAGGAGTCACGCGCCTTTCCTTTCCCCAGAGCTAGGGGAATGAAAGAGTGCCAAATCTCTAATAGGACAGTAAAGCAACCCCCCTTCAAGTTCTGAGGGAGCACATATATCTTTCTGGCAGCGTCTCTGCTCATTTTTTTTGTACTCTGAACCTCTTTAAAAGATGGACATGCTCAATTTATTTAAAATTAATAATACAATTGTCCTTAACCTCCTAACTTC